CTCTGAATTTCTGTCTGATCGCAAGCACAACGCGTACAATGTTCCATCATCAAAGTCCTCAAAGATATCCCCGAGCAAATACGACTGTATGAGATCTGAACGCTCCTCACCAACAAGACACTGAGACAGCAGAACAGCAAACCTAGGGTCAAGAGTAGTTGTAGAGTCATAGCCTTCATCAAGCGACTCCAACCGATCAAATGATCCGTCTGGCATGTTGGTGAGAAAGGAAATCTCACCATGCTGATGCTCACCGTGGTTCTTGAAAGTGGTGAATGAAAGTCCATTTCTCCACTTCAGTGAGCGACTGCTCTGGGATAGCCAGAACCCTGAATGGGCAGGATACATGATGGTAACAAAGTATCCTTCTCCCTTGTCATCTTGCCAGCGACAGACCTCTGCACAAAAGTGCCAGAAGGCATTGGCAGCCTTCCTGGGCCATTCGGTTGGAATGACAGGGTGAATGAAAATGTGATTCGGCTCTGCCTTTAGGATCACCTGCCAAGCAGCTTCAATCGAAGACTGAACAGTCTTGGCGCTCCATTCACCAAACAACACAGGCTCACTCGCGTCAAGACCAGAATGAACGGTGCACGCAGTAAGCCCGGTGAGGCGAGGTGTGATCTCAACGAAATCGCTCTTGCCCGAAGGCCTGAAGTGAGAGTGTGGTAACACATCTCATGTTCATAACACTATCCGGAACTTGCACGCTCAAGAATGCTATCGCCGATGCGGTCGAGTGCCTCTTCCTGAGAAGAGCGTCTCGGGCCATCACCGCGTACCTCTTCCGTTGGAGAGCTTCGCGAATCATCAGACTTCAAGGAATAGCCACATCATGCCATGGGTCTCCATCACGCCTCACCTTCGATTGATTGACACGAAAAACGGCACGATGGACTTCAACCAACACCATGGCTCCTTCTTGTGACACAACTACACCTCTGATCCAGGTTCCTTCAGACTTCTTCTTCGACTCATCCTTGCGCCAAACAAACACACGATCTCCCTTCCGATACGGACCATCAGACGGCATGACTCGCCGTGCTAAGTCCTTGCGGAGATCAAGTGACTGCCTGGCCTCTTGATGGGCTCGCATGGCAATCCTCTGGAGATCCAAAGCGGTTCGATCCTCCTCAGCAGGATCGGCAGAGAGCTGTTCAGGAGTACTGTTCTCCACGTCAAACAAGTCAGGTGGTCGTCTCCCAGTAGCTATCTCCAGAGGAGAATAGCCAGAGACGGTAAGCTGGCAATTCCGTGCCCAAGCCACCTTCTTGACTGCCTGACGAACAGTTGCGTTCTCTGCGTAACCTTCATTGGCCGAGGCCTTAGCCATGATAGATCACGTGCGCTTGAACAGCCGCACTGCAGTCTCGAGGTCTACATGGATATGGAGTTAAAGCCACGGAACTTGTAATAGGACATGAACTGTGGTGTGAAAAATGCTTGATGGCCTACGATTCCTGTAGGAACGCAGTTGTTCTCCTCTGTCCATTGTCGAAAAGCTCCCAGAGTCTCGGGCGCTTCCAGGTTTGTCAGAGCCGTAGCCCACAGGAGATTAGAGGCACCATCAATGATTACCACAGCAAGATAAGCCTTGGTGCCAAACTTGATCTCTTCGTGATCAATAAAGATGAGATCTCCGAAGGATGATGCTTGTAACCCTGCGATTCTGGCTCGCGGCGGCGTAGGCACGGAGGTGCTTCAAACACGACAGCCTTTGACAATGCGGTCGTACTTGTCATAGATCTCTCCTGGCAGCCCAAGCATGCTGGTCCTTCGTCGAAACTGCGCTGAACTCATGTGGTAATGCTTCACATGCAACGTGTAAAGCTCAACATCATTGTTCAACTTTTCCAACATGCACTGATACTGCGGAGAGGCCCTTGAGACCTCTTGGCCTGGCAATGGAAGCGCGATCCTCGGGCTCTTTGTAGGAAGCAAATGTGATTCCTCCGGTTCGGACGGTGCATACTCTTGAAGCTCCGGATCATCTCCAGGAGCCATAAGAGGAGCTACATCTTTCCTTGAGGAAAGCTTGCATGCAGTTGCTCCTGGTTTCTTCGAGCTGTCTTCAGGCTTGCCTTTGCTAATCATGTCCTCTGGCGATCCTACTCGAGCACGAGTGGGATTTTTGGACTTAGCTGGTACCGAGGTCCTACTCTCGATACCTCCAGGCAAAATCTTGGAGATTGTCCTACCATTTCAAGAATCAGTTGTTCTCGTGGCAGGACGCTCAGAAGAACGCCTGGAGCACTGCATGATCGTCTTGTGCTTGTTGACCAGATACTCCAACGGAATGGGCACATATCCCTCTTTGGGTTCGTACTTGACTTTTCGCATCTTCTTGTGGATACGGATCATCTCCATGTCGACTTCGTTGATGACCCACTCATCATCCGTCGCCAATACGAGATTGTCGGGTACCTCTTCCTATGAAGAGCCTCCCAGGGTCTTCTGGTGGAACTCGTAGTGGGAGAAGTAAGTGAGGAAGCTCGACTTCTTGTGCTTGTCGAAACGAACTTTCCACATCAACTTACTAAGGTCGAGAAGATCAAGTACCAGATGTGAGCTAGGAGCAACCTTCAACCACATCTCGAATTCCCAGCACAGGGCTGCTAAGCAATGCCTCTTCCGGATGGAGTTCGAACTGGAACCTCAGGTTGCATATTTGCGGCAAGGACATGAGAATGGGAACATGCCCCTGTTCCACAATGTCGAACTCGGTCGATCGAACTGCGTACACCCGGTCGCACATGCAAATGGCCAACTTTTGGTTGCACTTGGTCGACTCGGAGTTGGCAAAGGTGAACTGAGACGTAGTCTCTGCTACGGTGTACCAAATGCCACAGTTCGGATTCTTGTCACAGAACTGCATGATGTCATGTGCGGCCACTCTCCAAGCCATAGCTCTCGTGCATCCCAAATCCAACACCGTCGCGGTCGGCGTCAAGGGCTGAGAGATGAAGGCTTCCTCGATATTGTCGATCTTCGGCAGAGTCAGCAAGCTGGGCTTGTCCGTCCTTTCCGGGCTCTCCATCTTTTCCTTCTTTGCCAAACTTGCTCTTTCCTTTGCCCTTCTTTCCTTTCTTTCCTTTTCCTTCGGCTGCATAGGGCTCCCCAGACTCGTACCAGGACCAGTCATCCCAAGACTGATCGCTCCATTGGAGTAGCTCGTCGTCGGAGACCCAGAAGGAATCTTCATCAGCTTCTAGAAAACCTTCTGTGCCATCCTCCTCGTCCTCAACCCAGTAGCCTTCATGACTGTCCAAATATCCGTCATCGATAACCAGGAACGTCTTGCGGCCACCGTGGCCGGAAGGAGCGAGGAGCGGGTTGTCGACGGTAGTCTTGGTCGTGCAGAAGATCTCGAGGTAGACTTCGCGCAGCTCGGCAAGGCGGTGGTCTGCCAGCACTCGGTTCCGATGTGCCATCAACGATGTCAGCACCTGTCTCTGATCCTGCGTGAGGTCGGACAGTGAGACAAAGATCAAAGCAACGAGATTGGCTGTGATTGGGATGGTCCGAGCATGCTGGTATCTGAGCCGTTCGTTGGCCCGTTCCATCGCCTGCTCTGGCGTCAGACCTTCTTGTTCTTCTGCGGGAAGTCCTGCTATGTAAGCTCTGACCTCGGCGTTGTTCGGGTCAACGATCGGCAGATAGGTGTCATTCCACGTTTCCTGCATTCTCTGAACAGAGAGTTGAAACCTGGTAATCCAACGAAGCATGTCTCCATTCCCGCGGTGCAAATTCATGAACGGCTGGAAGCGGTAGAGGAAAACAGTTGCTGCGCCCTTCACGAAGAGCGACCGCAGGAAACTCTTGAAGTACTTCATTCCGTTGGCTGCATCCTTCAGGCGATCCCTGTCGAGAAGCCTTTGTGGGGTTGCTGCTTCACCTTCTAGCCGATTTCTCAAAGCCGGTCCACGCTTATCAGCATCAAGCTCAGTGATGTCACACCAGTCATCGATCGCGTCTTCATAGGCGAGCCAACTGCTTCGTCCATCATATGATGGCGGTACTTTTGTGGTCACCTGCTAGAGACGGTGTAATTCATTGATATGACGGTAAATCGTCGCGAACGATTCACTTTCATGAAGGAGGTAATCTTCATCTCCTTCCCCATGTTCAATTATAGTCGCAGATTGGCTAGCCATTGCGCTGTCCTCGGATGGAGCCCCGGGAGATTACTGTTCCTGCTGTCTTCACCTGTGTGTAGTGTGCCGGAGAGACTCCGGTCACCTTCACCTGTGTGAAGCACACCGGGTATCCCGGTTGCTTCCACCTGTATGGAGCGTACCGACGGGTACCTCCACCGATGTGAAGCTTCCCGTTTCCCGGGAGCTCCGCTACCACGACGTGTATCCCTTCGCTATGCGCACAAGTACACAGGCACTCAGGAGGCTCTTTTCCTACAGGCGCACAGCTGTAGTCCAGTGCACTAGAACCTTGAGCAACAGGCATGGACACATGCAAATGATACGTGAAACAGACAGGCTCCTGGATGTGTAACATTCAGTGTTTCACCCCACCCCCCCCACCCACCCCTGCACGGAGCTGAAGTACAAATGGAAGTCCAAGTTGGCATGTGCAAAAAAGTCGAGAGTCGGCAAAAACACCATAAAAACCGATGCGCAAATGCGACACGCATAGGAAAACACCTAAAAACACGATGCGAATTGGAGAGCTCAGCAGTTCTGTGCACAGTGTGGCTTGCCAGGTGCATTTTTTTGTTAGAAAACACCGCAAAAACCGATGCGACAACAAAACGCAAATTCAATTCCGGGTGAGGAACGCGCCAAAACTCGAGTTTCAGCACATGCCAGCCTTGGGTGAAGGCATGTTGTGGATGATTCCTGGTCTTTGACTTCGGGCTCGCCGCAAGGATCCTGCGAGTTACTGTTCTTTACGAGCCCGAAGGGGCTTATGCCTGAATCCCGAAACTCTGAGTTTGAACCCTCGCATCCTTAAGCCCTTAAATCCAAACCCCACCCTTTCTTCAGGCTCGACCTTCCCGCGGTCTCCGAGGCGCCGCGGGTTTTTGAACAAGTTAGGCGGAAGGTTGGGGTATCCGATTCACGGTTCCGGATTTCTGAACTCTGCAGGTTTAACAGTCCTGGATATCACAAACTGCAGCAGTACAGGAAGTCTTGTGAGGGATGGAGGAAGGCGAGGTCAGAGCCCCGAAGGTTGCACGATTCCAATGGCCCACGGCTTGGTATTCCAAACGGCCTATGGTGTCGTCTCAGCAGCTGCGCGGAGCATGCTCCTCCCCTCCCCATATCAAAGCAAATCATCATCATGTTCGTCGCTAGAATGGCGTGATTAGAATGCTAGCGCGAGCGTGGTTCCAGAAGCCTCGCTAGACAGGGGCACAGAGGAGTTCAGAAACAGATGTTTTCGTGGAGAGAAGCCCAACTGCTCTGCCGCCCAAGAAGCTTTCCATCTTTGCACAAGCCGAAACGCCATTCTAAACTCCAAAATTGATTGACCGATGCGCCAGGACAAAGAGAACATCCCCCGATCTTTGCGACCCAAGGAGCACAACGGTTCCACCGATACGGGTTTCAGAGTTAGGAGTCCTGCCTCTCCACAAGTTCCGTGTAATTGAGCTGGGATAGAGGCTTGGGCGCAGGGCCACAGCCCCAGGCGTAAGAGCCCCTGAACTTCATGTCAAACATGTTTAGCCAGCCAGGCCCTCAAAAAACCGCTAATGTGGCAGCCCTTTTCCCTCAGGAGCTGCGCTGATGACGCCCGGCCCAATGCTGAGGATGGGCTGCTCAGATGTCGCAGGCAAATTCCTCGCGGCTGCGTGTGGTTGCTAGGTGTGGGCTCTTCAAACCAAGATCGACATGATGGTCCTTTGGGCCTCCCAACGTGAAGCCTCTCGGTAGAAGCCCCCCAACCGGCACACTCCATGTCCGAGGCACCTACAAGTGGAAAGTTCTCGCCAAGCAGGCGGTCTCTACACTAGAAGTTTCGACAAGCGGCAGTTTTTTGCACCAGAACCGGCTAGCTCCGGGGTGGCAGGCATTCGTTTTGCAAGTTAGATCACACGAGAATGGTGATTGTACTGCTCTTATCTCAGAGTGAGGCAGCAAAAGTAGACAGTAGTAGGAGGAGGAGAAGCAGTAGTCGTCGTCTTCGTCTTCGTCATAGTGGTGGTATTGTTCTAGCTGCTTCTCGCGCTGTGGCTGCGGGTGCGGCTGTGGAAATGGTCGTTGTCGTTGCTGTTGCTGCTGTTTCTGCTGTTGCTGTTTTTAATATCTTGAGCCTATCGACAGTATGACTTGCACTAGTGCTGATACCAGAAGCACCACCACCACCACCACCACCAGCACCACCACCATAAGCTGCGAAGCACTAGCACATGGAACGCGATGCCTGCCAACCCACAGGCTCTGCCGCGCAGATGGTAGCCACCGGTCCAGCGGGATCTTAACACTACTTGCGGCAACCATACAACTCCTGGCATTTCAGATGTCTTAGGATCGTAGCTTCGAGCCATCTGTTTGCGGTGCGGAATTGAGGGCTGGCAGTGAGCCTTGCCCACGCTGTCTGGACGTCAGATGCACGGCTGTTGGGGCTTCCATAGCATACCAGGGCAGCACCCAAAAGGGGCATCGAATCTGCACAAGCAGCACGAACTCGTACATTTCACCTGCAGCTAGAGGAATTGCAAGCATCGAAAGGTAAGCCTGCTGACTTCATGACGGCCTTGGATGCAGGGAGATTCCTTCCCTGAGACGTGTCAGACAGCATAATTTGCAATTTGAGCTTGTGCAGACTGCAATCCCCATCGCCTTAAAGGCGAGAATTCGGGCGGGAACCAAAACTTTGCCGGGGTGCCGCTGGTTTTCACGCTTAGTATTTGTAGCCTCCTCAGAGGATTGAAGGACTTTAAGTTGGAGTTGATATGATGTGCATGGTCATGTAGCCCCTTTTCATCACTGTCATTCTTTGAAGAAGGGCCACCTTGCCCAGAGCCCTCCATGAAAGGCTGTTGTTCAGTCTTAGGAGCACCCGTGCCCTTTGTTCAATTATTTAAAGAATGTAGCTTGCGACGGCGGTCCTCATAGAAAGGTTAGTACCACAGACACTACACGCCGGTCTCCATCTTGCATGCGCTCGGGGAACGGATGTTTGTTCATGTGCGGTCGTTGCGGCTCGAACACCACCAGTCGGATTATTTCGGTGCTGTGTCGAGGACGGGAATCGTCAGAGTTGCGATGGACGTTGGGCTTCGGGGTCTTCAGGATTGCGCGGCTTTTACATTCTGAATGACGGGTCCAGTGTCCATGCCGTTGCCGGAGAGAATACAACAAACCACACGACCCTCGCAGAAATCTGAAGCCGAAGCCTGGCAGCCTGTAATTCCAGGGCCTGAGTCTCGGTCGGAGCCTGTGAGCCGGATCCGGCGGGCCTTGAAGTGCTCAGCAGGTGATCCTCACGCAGCCGGTCACCGCAATGGCGATGGCATTTCCACAGTCACAGGCGGGAAGAACCGTTCAGCTCTGGGTCATCCTAGGTCCCAGGCCAGAGGAGCCCCTCCTCGCCTCGAAGCCAAGCACAAAGATCCTGAAAGAAGCCTCAGCGACCTGGCCACACAGCCTGGACAACGAAGTTTCAACCCTAAAATAGTTTCCGAGTCCGAAGGCCAGCCACAAGCAAGAAGCCCAGAAAAGCCGTCGCCACCGGGCCAGGAGAGGTTTATGGACTTGCTGGATCCTTTTGAGGCCCGGCAATTTCGGGGTTTCGGTGATCCTTCTTGCTCTGGCTCCCGAACCCTTAAGCATTGTCAAATCTGGCACATTCGGCACTGACCACTTAATGGATTCCAACCTAAAGGACTCCTTCTTAGGAGCCCCGTCATCGTTTGAGGCACACCCCTTAACAAAATCTTCGTTTGGGGTCTCTCCGGGCACCAGGATGCGGATGAAGAGGAGATCGATGAGGTCGGTGCTTTGCCCGGCTTCGGCAATGCGCAGGCGAGCGGAAGAAGCCCTGGGGAAGTCTAGCCGAAGGGCGTCCCGGGCAGTAGATACAGTGCCGAAACCTCTGTGTGATGCACTTTGTAGATGGATTCTGGCATATGTCTGCACATTTTTCTACACGCCGACTTTAAGAGGATGCATCCAGCCAAACGCAAGACAACTACGGGGGCTGAAGGGTTCCTGCTTTTGAGTGCTGCGCATGTCCGTCTTGCTTGGTCCCACGGTTGGAGCAGGTGAAACGCCGCATTCGGCTCTGTCATCCGTCAATGTCTGCTTGATGTTTGCAACTGGACCGAAATTGTAGCCGTCCCAAAGCTGCATGCAGGATGCGGGCAGGTTCTTGCGGCAGGCCGGCTATGCAAGCAAGCTTAGGCTTGGGAGATTTGGGATCTCAGGTGTCAGGGTTTCAGCTGGGAGGCTTCGAAGTGAAGGTGCTCCCTTGCATCGGTGCCTCTTCCAAGAGCCTGCTGTTGAGTACTTCTTCTGGAAGGGGTGTCCTGGGCATTGTGGGGTGGTAGAGTGTGGCCTGTTTTCCTGCACTGAAAGTGCGGAGTAATTGTTGGGGTGCTCCGGTTGTGACAGGCCCAAGATTCGTAGGCCGGCGCCTACTCCAGGCCGAGGCTTTGAGGGAAAGGTTCGAAGCTCGTGTCTGCGAAATCCTGGCGCAGGAGTCCTCGCATGGACCCCTGCACTGGAACACCCGATGCAGCACAGAGCTTCAGAAAGTCATCGACAATTTCTGCATCGAAGAGCTGTGCTCCGCCGAAGTTGGTTAAAATCTTTTCGGATGCAGACTCAGAGACTCAACGGATGACGGAGTGCTGTGCGAAAGGCTCTTCGCATGGTTTGTTGGTTGTTGCTTGCCCCGGGTCCCTGCACATAATGCTCATAGACATTCAGTTCTGTGCAATGCCGTTTTGTGCAGCGGGGACTTGCAGCATCGTGTCAGGTACGAGTTAGGATTCTCGGTGACTCTCGCAGATCCGCGTTATCCTCAGCAATCCAGCTTATGTAAGTGAGCAGTCGACCTTTGCCAGCCCAAACGCAGCAAAGCTCAGGAGCCCAGTCGGCGTGTGTTACACAGACCTGAGCCATCAGCTTAAGGCCTAAGCCTCCTTCTGGTACCAATTAGCCACAACAAGCATGTTGGTGACTGCAGCAGCAACCGGATGCGTTCCCAAAATGCAACGCAAGGATTGAAATAAACCTATTGCAGACTGAAGGGCAAGTAGGTCAAGGGCTATGGGAGTTAAGGGCTCTGAGGGCAGACATCCCCATGCTTCAGAGAGACCGCATGCATGACGACCGGGGGACACATCGGAAACAGAATGCGTCTGGTCGGCAAACAATTGATTTGTTTTCGGTATGTTTGACGCACATGGCGGGCGAGGGGTTCTCGAGGTGTCGCACAGCCGGTACGGGCAGAACCCTCCTCGCGGATCCCACCCGATGAATTCCGATAGAGATGTCGCAGGCCGACCAACACCACATTGCACCCCTTCAAGAATTCCTTCGAAGCGCTGAACTCATCCTTTCTCTGCCGGAACTCCGAGGTCCAAGCCGGACTGCCCCCTCATTGCCTGTAGCGCGGGCTTCACGGAGCTCACTGGCTACTCTGCGCCCTCCCCTTTGCACTTCCGGGGCCACTGCGCAGTGCCAGTGCCAGTCCTGACGAGGTACAGGAGATCGTGGGGCGAAATTGCCGCTTCTTGCTCAATGGCGTGCCCTCCAATCTCATCGATGCCCGCAACTTAGTTCTGGCCTGAAGGGCTCAGGCTTGCGAACATGGCAGGTCTGCATTCAAACGGAGTTCGGATTGCCAGCGAAGTTCCGGGTCGGATCTTCGAGTAGTTTCAATCGCCTGGTGCCTTTACCTGTACTGTCACTGAACTGCATACCCTTTACCGACAGAAACTTTTGCGAGGGCTTCTCAGAAAGCCCCAGCTCACGTTCGCAGGAGGCCACCCGAGTGAAGTGTCGGGCGTTCTTCCGGCCTGATTCAAGGGTTCCATGAGTTGACCACGCGGAGGCTGACGCTACCCGCTAACAATTGCTGAGCAGTGACAGTTGAGGTTTCTTCCTCAAGTTTCCTGGAGGGACTGCAGGTCAGGCCATGAACAAACTAAGTGCTTCTGCAAAGGTGCATGTGCAAAGTCACTCTGGATCAGTGCCTCACCTGAAGATAGGCTATATGCTGGTAAAGGAGCCAACAGAAACACGGCAAGCTTGGATGGCCAAGCCTAGGAGACTCAAATCGATTGTAGGACAGAGTCTGAGAGGCTGACAAAGAAGTGCTGGGAAATTGCAAGCCGCCCAGAGCGTTGACGTCGTTGCTCGCCAGGTTTTGTATGTCCTCGTCAGTTGGCGAGGAGTACACAGGCCTGCTGTGAGTCAGCACGGGTGAGATTCCAGCTTCGGAGTGTCCGCATGATCACCTGGCCAGTATCACTGGAGCAGACAGCCACGATGGTCGGAGGTGCCCCGGACAACTTGCCCGATGGACTACAGAAGCAGGGGGCACGGCTCTGCAATTCAGGGGTGGGATGAATCCCTGCTGTGCTACGCTGAGAAGGCCTATGTCGCGGTGAAGCTTGAGGGTTTTCAATATTGCGGTATTCTTCGAATCTTCAGCAGGTGTCCCGTGGCAATGGTTCATGTCGCGAAGGATCGATGCTGCAAAGGTTGAGCCTGATTTACCAACACATCCGGAAAAGTCTCGTACATGATAGAGATGTGTGTTTCAGTTGAGTTGAT